AATCCGTATATGATTGACATGTTTAATGTTGACATGTTGGATATGAAAATTCTGCAGTATTATATATTTCCACTTCATCCTTTAATAATAAAGTTCTTTTAATAATCGGGAACTGATGAATTATTTTTGTATTAATTCAAATAACTGTTTTCATCCCACACGACATTATGTGAACATTCACGTTGTAATTGTAAACTGCACCTTCTAATACAACTTTAAGGTAATTCCGCAGTTATTGTTCCCGAAATGAGAATGTGCTGAAACTTCCCATGCAGGCATAGAGTTTATGATATACTTAAAGTAAAATCACACAAAAAAGTCGGGGTCACCGAACTCGTTATGAAGATATGACAATCACAATATACCACCTTTACCCCAATATGGCGCCATCTTGACGCTCATTACGAGTAACAGCAAAATCACAACAGTCCGATATTTATTGACCTTTTTAGCGCGGATTTTGCATATTTTACATATCTTTCTTTGAGAACATGCACTGATAAAGGATTTTTTTTCAAGATCCAGAAATGATTTTTCTTTTAATTTCTGATATGAAATGTAAAATGCATTAAAGAAATAAATTATCAATAAACCCCATGTGATTTTGCTTTAGTAAACCTATCTTGTAATTATTTTTGAAAAATATTGTGTTTTGAGCAAAATGAAACTACTAACGTGTACAATTCTGATCCACAAATGTCTTTTCCACATTTCTTTACATATCTTTCTTTGAGAACATGCATTGATAAAGGATTTTTTTAAGATCCAGAAATGATTTTTCTTTTAATTTCTGATATGAAATGTAAAATGCATTAAAGAAATAAATTATCAGTTAAAAAACGGGGGCATTAAACGTGATATACAAGTAAATAAATATACTACAGACACAGGAACCCTAGCTACACTTTTGTATGCCTTTTTTGAAAACATTGATTTTAACGTAATTCTTTGCACGAATGTAACCAAAGATGTTTTAAAGTAACATAAAATTGTCATAAAATGATTTTTTTCAGTTTAAACGGTACGTATAATGGATGAAATTATAAGTTATAAGATGTGCGCAGTAAAAGTGCTGCAATGCAAAACTGCGGAATTACCTTAATGATGTCAGTTTAGATGTATTGATGTGTTTTTTGTATTTTCCAACATTGCTGTTCAAAAGTATGAAGGCCCATATCCACTTTCCGAATAACTAAAATTTTGTAAAATGTGATTGGACGACAACAAATTTTCCATGGCCATGGGGAAAAAATTTGAAGTTGAAAATTTTTCGGGAAATTTGCTGTCCGTGGACATTTTTCTTGGAAATGGGCCTTAATAGGTCAAATCGGCCAAAAATTTCCATCCCGCTCAGATGGGAGCCTTCATTAAATGGAAAATTTTATCCTATCCAACTGAGATCCACTGGAAATTGTTTTCAAAATACTTAGCCTACTATGGAAATAGCATGGATATATCGATCTTCGTTGGAAATAATATGGAAATCCAATTATACCTATTTACTAATTACAATTTCCGTACTATGGATATAGTATGGAAATAATATGGACTTACTATGGATATAGTATGGAAATAATATGGACTTACTATGGATATAGTATGGAAATAATATGGACTGACTATGGATATAGTATGGAAATAATATGGATATACTATGGATATAGTATGGAAATAATATGGACTTACTATGGATAAAATGATGCGATTGCCAATTCCATAGTATGAATTTTAGTACTTTTCCCAGTGATATTTCATATGAACGTACCCTAGTAAGCTATATATACATAAAAGAGGACTCCCGAACCAGACCATGAGAAGTTCAAAAACCTTATGCCACCCAGTTTTAGGTATTATCATTGTGTGGACGAACGGACCAAGTAAACACATTAGACAGTCGGAAACTGCCAGGTTCATTACAAGATATGTTCCTGAGTTTCTGAAGCATTTGAGAGGATCTTTAATAAAAGCAACAAGAAGTAATAATTGAAAACTACTCCGAGAATACAAATTATGATAATTGGCAGTCTGATGTACTGAATTCGTTGCTGACTGTTGCAGTAATGTTGTTCTCTGCCATATTTATAATCGGTAAAACCCCAACGGCAACACTGACACTCTACTAATTGAAATACCGAGTGAACTTGGTCTGGGGGAACGCAAATTTAAATCCTTATGTAAGCCCACGTATATAGGCGTGGGCTTATACGTACATTTGCGGCAAAACATTAGGGGGCCCCCCATGCATACAAAAAAGTATTTTAATTATGTTCTATATAGCTCAAAACTCATTGACAATTTAGTCTCATATCTAATAATATATTTGCATTTTCCTGCAGATGATTGCTATGAAATATGAAAAAAAAAATTTTAATTTTGTTCTATATAGCTCAAAACTCATTAAGAATTTATATAGTATTTTAGAATATTTCATATCTTCTACATCACTGACACTGGAATTTTTTAGGGCCACTATAACTCCATGCAGATATGATTTTTGGGTTAGCATATATACACTATATTTTCACTATTTTGGTCATTCTAAGAAGAAATGTAATATTTCTTTAGAGTCAATTAGAAGCTCATATGATCGACTTTTCACTACCAAAGTTGCTCGATATTAAGTTTATATAATAAAATCTGTTTTAGTTTGAACTCTTTGTCGTATAAATATTTTTTCAATAATTCTAACTGCAAACGAAATTAGACAGCCACGTGACTTGGCAATTTCCGTATTAAGGTCGCCACCGACCTGTCATTGGTTGGTCATATAAACTATACTGATGAGCCATTGGAAAACTAGCCGCCAGAATTTTGCATAATTTTATATTCAATATATCTAAATTCACCATAGTACGGCCACAATATATTTGAATACAAAATGACGTCATGTCAGTTTGGTAGATGGAAACAAGTGCTGACCATATGGAAGGTTAGGTGTTGACCGAGGTGGCCTGGTAACTAGCGGTGGTACTTGGACGAAGAAAAGATCTATGCAACTGGTATCTTGAATTTCCAACCATGCACACTCGGGCCCACCACACCATTACAAATGATGATAAAAAATGATAACAACAGTCTGATTCCAAACCAAATCCTAGCTAGACTGTTGCTCATCAGTGGTCACAATTAAAGGCATTATTATTTAAAAATATTTAACAACTGTAGTCTATCATGCAGTTAGTAACAAACTGTTTGCCAAGTGACCGCTCCTGAAATCGTGCATCTATATTTACATAAACAAAAAGGGATAAACTATTACTATACTATAACATTGTATTTACAAGAATACTAAATAAGGAAAGTATACATGCAAATTACCCTGTACCCTCAAGAATAACTTTAAACGTAATATTAAGATCGTTGGGAAGGTTGTTCCAACATTTAGCATTTAGGCATGGAATTGTAGTTATACCCCTGCATTTCAAAATCAAGACCCTCTTTTGCAATACAGCAAATAAAATGTTTTCCGAGTTCACTGCAAAGTTTATGCAAAAAATGGGAAGAAATATTTTACTTAAAATCTCAGAGGTTAAATTCTTTTCCCGCCCGAAACCCAGAGTACTGTAGGCCTGAAAAAATACCATGGAAGGCACGACACAGACGAAAGCGATACATGCTATGATCATAATTGTCTGTAAAAATTGTTTTTCTTTAAGTATTCGTATCTCTTGGGCACGACTTCCATTTGAGTTTTGTAAAGCTATGTTCCTTGACTGTTTTTTCAATTTGCGATATGTGAAAGCGTATACATAACTGCTGATGTTATGACACTGATCACAGCCAGGGTGTAGATGTTGATTGTATTGTTCCTCTGAGGATCATATATATAGAACAGTTTTAATACAGGAGGTACACAGCTTACTATCCAAATTGTTACAAGTAACAGGACTATAACTTTACCCTCTATCAAAACGCGGTGTTTTATCGGATAAGCAACCATTAAAAAACGATCAATCGATATTGAAATAATCGATAGAAATGAGGACATCCCGAACCAGACCATGAGAAATGGAAAAATTTCATCCAAACCAGGCCTAGGTATTATCATGGTGTGGCCGAAAGGGCCAAGTAAAGACATTAGACAGTCGGAAACTGCCAGGTTCATTACAAGATATGTTCCTGAGTTTCTGAAGCATTTGAGAGGATCTTTAATAAAAGCAACAAGAAGTAATAGATTGGAAGCTACTCCGAGAACAGAAATTAGGATAACTGGCATGACTCTGCTGTACGTGAATTTGTTGTTGACTGTTGTAGTAATGTTGTTCTCTGCCATAGTTAATCGGTAAAACGGCAACACTGACACTCTACCAATTGAAATACCGATTGAACTTGGTCTGGGAGAACGCAAATTTAATTCGTATGTAAGCCCATGCACGAGAATTTTAATCAAGAAGAACACAACATCTGTACACACTGTACCAATTGACATACTGAATCAACAGCACAATTAACTTTCTTCAATATCCTTCTATTAAATAGACTGTTATATTTGCATTTTGGGCCCACAGATGATTGCTATGAAATATGAAAAAATGTATTTTAACTATGTTCTATATAGCTCATAACTCATTAACAATTTAGTCTCACATCTAACGAGAATTCTACATCACTGGAGTTTTTTTAGGACCACTAACTCCAGATATAATTTTTGGGCTAGTATACACACTATTTTGGTCACTCTAAGAAGAAATGTAGCTAATATTTATTTAGAGTCAAGAAGCTCATATATGCGGATCCACTTTTTCACCACTAAAGTTGCTTGATATTATATGTTTATAATAAAATCTGTTTTAATTTAAACTGTTTTCCGTATAAATATTTTGCATTAATTCCAATTGCAAACGAAATAAAAGCCATTTGAAAACTAGCCGCCATAATTTTGCATAATTTTATATTGATTATATCTACGTTTACCATAGTACGGCCGCAATATATTCGAATACCATACTCGCCAATATGGAAAGTTTAGATTCAAGCTGTTGACCGGGGTGAATGATGATAAAAAACAATAACAGTCAAATCCCAAATCCTAGCTAGACTGTTGCTCATCAGTGGTCACAATTAAAGGCATTTAATATTTAACAAATATTTAACAACTGTAGTCTATCATGTAGTTAGTAACAAACTGTTTGTCAAGTGACCGCTCCTGAAATCGTGCATCTATATCTACATAAACAAAAAAGTACAAACTATTACTATACTATATTATTATATTTACAAGAATATACTAAATAAGGAAAGTATACATGCAAACTACCTTGTACCCTCAAGAATATCTCTCAACTCTTTTGCAATACAGCAAATAAAATGTTTTCCGATAGTTTGGCAAACGTACGACATAAATTAATGGGTTCACAAAAGTTTATTAAAAATGGAAGCAAATATTTTTCTTAAAATCTCAGAGATCAAATTGCCTCTGAAGAGACCCAGAACTTCGGCATTGTAGAACTGATAGAATATCGCAGAAGGCACAACACAAATGAAAGCGATACATGCTATGATAACGATTGTCTTTAAAAATCGCTTTTCTTTAAGTATTCTTATCTCTTGTGCACGACTATCGTTTGAATTTTGTAAAGCTATGTTCCTCGACTGTTTTTTCAATTGGTAATATGTGGCAGCGTACATAACTGCGGAGAATACAACAATAATGACACAAATGGTGTAGATGTTTTTCTCCATCAGTTCATTCTTACGACCATGGGAGAAGAATCTTAATACAGAAGGTACACAACTTGCTATCCAAATTGCTGCGAGCCACAAGACTATAATTTTACCTCTGATCAAAACGCGATGTTTTATCGGATAAGCGACCATTAAAAAACGATCGATCGATATTGAACCAATCGATACAAAGAGGACATTCCGAACCACCTTACGAGAAATCCAAAAATCCGTTGCCGACCAGTCATTCCTTTGATGCTGTAAAGTGTGTAACATGGAATAAATAAACACATTAGACAGTCGGAAACTGCCAGGTTCATTACAAGATATGTTCCTGAGTTTCTGAAGCATTTGTGAGGATCTTTAATAAAAGCAACAAGAAGTAATAGATTGAAAGCTACTCCGAGAATACAAATTATGATAATCATTGGCACAACGCTGTACGTGAATTCGTTGCTGACTGTTGTAGTAATATTGTTCTCTGCCATAGTTAATCAATAACACCCAAACTGCAACGCTGACACTTCGATATCGAGTTAGTTGGGAGAACACAAATTCAAGTCTTTATATATTTAAGTACACGAGAGTCGAGAATTTCAATCAGTAAAAAATCCCACCGCTCTACCAACTGAACTATTAAATTAACTGGATCGAGGAAAGCACGAATTCAAATCCTTAACTTGTGCATTTTACGTCAATTATGCTGTAAACCCACTCGTGTATGTACTGCGTTTGCCAACGTTCCTGAATAATATTTGTCGATAGGGTGGGGGTAAGAGGGGCGAAAACTCGAAATTGATGAACCCGTGGAAAAGATTTTGACTTGTAACACTGTGCTATAAAGAAACCGATAACTTCAATCTGTAAATCCTTGTTTCTTTCCTTGCGTGTGCCGATGTATATCCCAACGAAAAAACTGAGTCAACTAACTATCACGATCAGTGCTTCTCATTTATCGTAAATTACTTCGGATATCACCGAAGCGTGCGAACGCATCAAACTCGTATAGCATTCACACCCGCCGTTGACGACCACACTTACCTATTTTTGCATGCCTGCGGGTTACAATTAATTCCAATTAAACAGCCAATTTGTTTTTTAGTCACAACTTATACTAGAGGTTAATAGAGGACTTATGATAAATTGAACGAATTTCAGTTAACCAACCTTGTGTTTAGCCAGTTCTACTGCCATCGCCATAGTAGCGTTATTCATCGCAGCTTTGGTCATAGCTAAATATATAGCAGATAAAACCTATTGAAATTTAGCTTTTACTGGGTACTAATCATTGATAAAAGATTCGTCATAAAATTGTAAAAAAAATTTATAACAATTGAAATATTTTCGCACTGTATCATGCACTGTATCACGCTTTTATCGAGTATATATTAGGGAGCTTAAGTATGTAGGATGGCACACGACGACGACGACGCGTCGTCGTCGTGTTGCCGTCCTACATGCTTAAGCTCCCTAATATCTCTCCCCGCCATCCCCGCCCCACATCAGGCCAGCAACGTCCTTTGACCATGCACACGCCTTTATTAAGTGGGAATCAATACACGAATACAGCTGAATAAAGCATGGGTATTCCGCTTTATAGATCTGAAGGATCTCAATCGAAAAGGGTTTACTCCTACCTGTTATCTACCTCGATAATATGATCTAAAAATGCAGGTGGCAGTGCAGGGAAATACTCACTGTAAGGCATTCGGCCAGCAGAAGCAATTTTGCTAACAGTTGTTGAGATATTCACTATAGCACCACTCGTTCCCCTTTGTCGACGTCGCAACCTTTTTTCTACCAAATTT